CCTAATTCTATATCTTAAGAGTGGTTATCTTAAGTGTGAGTTTTAGGTTCTAGATATTTAATTAAGTGTGTCATATCTTAATTAAATTCTAGATTCAAACCCCAAGTTAGGATAAGAGTGTGTAATATCTCTTAAACACCAACTTGGTTTATCCATCCCTGAATTTTCTTCCATTTCATATCCCCCCATTTCTCCTCTTAATCTCATTCTTTTTCTTCATTAAAAAACACCAAAAGAACTCCCCTTTTGCCCCATAATATTTCAGCCACCCCATTTCCCCCTCACCTCCCCATAATTCCTTCTCTAAAATAGCAACGTGATAAGACCCCGGGTCTCGGGTATAACACCTATCTAGGGCCATATCCTCAGTCAGGTCGAGAAGTCCTAAATCCTGCCTAATCACCTCCTCCAATTCTTCCTAGGTCTACCCCTTCCCCTACTTCCCCCGATAACCGTAATCCTCTCGCATCTCCGTACAGGGGCGTCAGCATCCCGCCGTCTCACATGGCCAAACCATCTCAACCTCGCTTCCCGTAACTTATCTTCCACCAGTGCCATGCCTACCTGACGTCGGATAACTTCAGTTAAAAACCTTTATAACAAGTATTCAAACCTCCACACACACTCACACGAGGGGGGGGGGGTTGGTATTTGAAGAGTATGTAACAAAACAGCTTAAAGAAAAACAAGTAGATGCAAGTAACTAGAGTTCACTTTGTAGATGATTTAAGTAAAACAGAAGATAGAGAGAGAAGAGTTGTTTCTTTGTTGAAAAGGTAACTTGGTTTTGATGTTGAATTTATGAAACTATACTTCACCTCATCATTAATTTTTAGGTGTTGTAAGAACATAACAATGACCAAGGTTGCGAAAAATCAGCACCAAAAAGCTAACTAATTCCCCCCACCACTCTTATAAGTAATTAAGCCTTATTAACGCAGCATTAACTCGAGTTCTACCCTGCAATTTACAACCTTGAAACCACCCCTAGCTTATGAGTCACGAGGAGCCTTAAATTCAAATTGGAATGGCCTTGACTCTTCTTCAACTTCCCACCGGCGAGAAGTTGAGGAAAATAACATGAAATAAGTGGTCAACGCGACCCTAAAGACAAACCAATGTCACAGTTTGGTCTCTAGGATCTTCCTGGACCTACCTTAACTAAAACTTCCGAATGGCCAGTTCTGAGAATTAGTTAAGTTCAGTAAACCAACTAGTCCTATTTCAAGTTTCCTTGCCGAGGTTCATACGTAAAAAAAAATGAGAAAAAATTTCAGAGGTTAAGGATTCATCTCATACACTCAACATCAACCAAGTTATCGCACAGTGCGTTATGAATGACGAGTGGCGAGTGGCGAGCGAGCGGCTGTTTTTTGTGGCGAGTGGCGTGGCGAGTGGAGGGCGGTCAAATGGCGAACCAAAAAAAGCATATATATATATATATACATATATATATATATATACATATATATATATATATATATAAAATTAAATACAATTAATATCTATTAAATGAAAATACACAATAAATGAACTTAATATTTTAAAAGAAAAAAAATTAGTATTTTTCTAAATTGAAAGAATAATACACAAATTGAATATCAGGGCCGGTCCTGAGGATTCATTAGCCTGGGCCAGAACAGAAAAAGGCCCTAAAAATCTTATCTTTAATGGTCTAAAAAATTCATATATGTAAACTAATTATATTTAAATTATTATTAACGCAATATTATTAGAAGAAAAAAATAAATGACAAAATTGTTTAGGAGCCATAGCTATTGAATTATTTAAATAAAATCCAAATTCATAAATTCTACCAAGTAAAATCAAGAATAAAAAATAAAAAAAGCAAGAAAATAAATAAATAAATAAATATATCATAAATTAATATCAATTCGTCAATTTTTCTTTTTTTAATTTTTTTTTCGTTTTCAGTTTTAATTTTTTTTATAAATCATAAACTCATATCAATTCATCAATTTATCAGTTTAAAATTTTTTTTCGGTTTAAGTTTTTTTAATATAAATATATAATTATCATAAATAACAAATTCAAATCAATTCATCAAATCAAATAAATAACATATAGAACCATTCATTCTATTTCAAAGAACGAAATTAGAAAACATTTCAAATTAAAAACGAAGAATTAACCCTAGATTTTAAATCTAAAAAATGAAACAATGAAAGAAAATTAAGATTTAAGAAATAAAAATTACAAAATTGGAAAGGGAAGGCTATGAATAATTACCTGGAGGGTGGAGCCGTGCAGGTCGGCGAATCGGCGTCCGGCGGTGGAGGCGGCGAGTCGGGCAGTCGGCTCTCTTGTTTTTTCCGGTCGCTGCGTTTCTTCGATCGGCACTTGCACAGTTGCACTTCAGCCTTTCTTCCGTTTTTGGTCTACAGAATACGGATGGACTGGGCTAGAGTGCTAGAGGTAATAAGTTAAGGGATGGGCACTGGGCTTGGGCCTATATATATACTAGCCTAAGACGCACATTGTGCGTGTGGTGTCCAAAAGGGTTTCTACCTCAGATCTTGAAGGATTTAAATATTTCTTAATAGTAGAATATATACTCATACACATAAGAGTCAAATAAATTTAAGTTTCAAGAACTTGAAAATAGAAACGAGATGCATTCAAAACCAGCTTAAAAGTCAATCAAACCCAATGCATACATTCCTACGGCTTCTTTGTTCAAGAAAATTAGAGTACACCCATAAACTTCTATTCTGCACCAAAACATACGAAAATCCTTATTTTGTACTTACTCTATTCTCAAAAACACTTCCTTTTTCATTTTTTCCAGTTCCAACAAAACACTTCTCATTTCTATTAAAAAACCACTTTTATCCTTACTTTTTCATACCCAACCTATCACATCATACTTTTTCTCTAATAATTTATTCATCACATCTTACTTTTACCCCATCACATCAGGGGTAAAATTGGAAATCAACTATAATTTAACACTTTCTTATTTTTGCCCCAAATCAAAATGGAAAGTCTTTTTGCAAACAGAGGGAGTATTTGAAATAATGAATAGTACAACGTAAGTGAATGCCAAAAGAAAAACTTAAAATTTTGAAAGACACTAACGGATTGGGGATGAGGGTGCCTGGTGAGGGAGATTAGTTGGCTTTGCTAACGGATAAAGAATAGAGTCAAAAGGAGTAAACAGTAAATTAACGGAGAAAAGACTAAAACCCGTGAGAGATAACAAGATTGGGCCTTATTATATTAGGGGATATATATATATATATATATATATATATATATATATATATATATATATATATATATATATATATATATATNTGCCAAAAGAAAAACTTAAAATTTTGAAAGACACTAACGGATTGGGGATGAGGGTGCCTGGTGAGGGAGATTAGTTGGCTTTGCTAACGGATAAAGAATAGAGTCAAAAGGAGTAAACAGTAAATTAACGGAGAAAAGACTAAAACCCGTGAGAGATAACAAGATTGGGCCTTATTATATTAGGGGATATATATATATATATATATATATATATATATATATATATATATATATATATATATATATATATATATATAAAACTTCTAAAAAAGTTGTGCCCCTAAAATTTTTGCGCCCGGCCGGACGGACACCTTGTCCCCCTATTGGGCCGGCCCTATTGAATATATAATGGTAACTATTAGACTAAAATAATTGTAACTATTAATATTTATTAACTGAATATAACACAAACTAGAAAAAGAATACTACCTCCGTCCCGCTATATTTGTCCACTTTTGACTTTTGAAACTGTTCATTTAAGCACTTTGACTCATCAAATTCTCTCAATATGTAAGCCTAAATATAGTCATGTGTGATCTTGTTTGATTTGTCTTAACATATAGATTATTAATATATAATTTCTATACTTTTTTAATATACAAATTACAAGATAAAATGGATTAAAGAAGTGCATTGAATGATGTGTAAAAATGAAAGTGAACAAATACTCTGGGACGAAGGGAGTAATAATATCCTGACCTGAATCTGCTGCGAGTTGACCAAGGTGAATCGCTCGAAGGTTGTGACTTCTGAGATAGAGAGCAGAGTCGAAATTGCTACTTCAGAGAGAAGGAGCAGAGTTGACTTCAGAGAGAGGGAGCAGAATCAATTTTGACTAGGAATCGGGAGGAGAGGATTAGCGATAAAAGACGAAAGATTGGAAGGGGATAAAATCGATTAAGGTAATTGATGAACCGACTTAAGTAATGGATCAAACCATTTAATTCCAAACGGGCTTAAGCCCAATTTAATTAAGCCATTCGAACAGATCTGAATGGCGACATAAGCACTTGCCAGACGCCATAGGACGCAGCAAGAATGGCGACCGCCTTTCATCGCCTCAAGAACAACGCCATGCACAGCCCAAACCAGGCGTTTTAGCCTCGCCACAACACCATAAGCGCCATAGGCGAGCATGGCAAACGCCATTCATAACTATGATTGCACTACTCACTCATGCTGCAGTCTAATCATATCAACTCAATTATTTAGAAAGATCTAGGAAAATAAACAATCATCTTTGATTCACACTCAAATAGACGTTCCAAAACAAAAGTTGAAAGGAATAGTTAAGTAACTCATGATTTACAGCACAAATACCAAACAGTCACAGAATTCAGACCTAACAAACTACCAAATTTGTGTTTACAAGAGAAACGAAGCTTATACCCTTTGATAGTGTCTAGGTCCTCTTAGGTCTGCACTCCTATCTCTTTGTCTGATCCTTTCGCCTGTCGGTT